GGTGTGGTTTCGGGGTTCGATTCAAAACCTGGAGTCATCTTTTTTGTTTGGGTTTGCAGGGTGTTGGGGTTTACTGTTCGAAGCTTTGGAGAGTGCTGTGCAGGAATACGAAGACCGAAGCAAGGTCGACGCAGCGACCTTGCTGCAAGAGTTCGGGCTGGCTCTTTGGGGTTTCGGGCTTTGGGGTTTGCTTTAGGGATAACTTTTTGAAGCCAGCGCGGGTTTTGGCAAATATGGCTTGTGCCGAGGTGGATAACATCTGTGGCGAGAATGGCGTGCCTGTTCCTGAAATGGACGCAATCGTCCTGAAGTGGCTGGGAGGCAAGAGTCTGGAGGATTTGAGGCTGAAACCCCATCCTCACAGGCTTGCTTGAGAAGAGACCTTCAACGAGTCCCAAAAGAGTCCCTCAAGCAAAGGTAGGGTTCCCTCCCATTTCCCCAAGAAAAGACACTTCATCCCCTCATCTACGAAGCCTCCACCGAGGAACAAGACCAGCGCCACCAATTCGCTGTCCCAGCCCGGGCCTCAGCAAAGAAGCCCTGACCAAGGCCCAATGTGGCTTAGGGACTTAGGGTTTGGGATGTAGAGAGTAGAGCTTCCAAAACCTACCAGAACCCTCACGGATCCGGAGATCTTCTGTGAAGCTGTGACTTCAAGACCTGGCAACGAGCACACCCGACTAGTGGCCTCCACTCGCCTCCTTTCATTCCCAGTCATTCCAGTCTCCTTCCCGCATCCCGGATCTTTCCTCAAGCTGCGCTTCAGGACAGAGTGGCTGTCCATGGAGGCCGGGAGCACCAACTCTTGGCCCATCCAGCGCACCAGGAAGTCCCCCCCCCCATGTCACCCCATGCACATGGAGACAGGCAGCGATGCCCGCGGAAGAGCGGCAGACGCATCGGAACCTCCAGGCGCTGTGCCACATTTCTTTAAGTCTTTAACCCTTAACCTCAGCATTTAGTTGTGGTGGACCTCTCGCGGCTGTCTTAGGGGTCGGTCATACGAATCCTAAGCCCTTATATTATAAACCCTAAACTTCCCTTTGAAGCACTGGAGCATACTGGAGCCAAAACAAGCCCGCGTCTTTTCGGCAGATTTTCTTCATGGAGCGGGCGAAAGCCGCCGGCGTCAAGGAGAAAGAGGAGGAAGAGGAGGCCGGCCCCGAGACCTTCAGGGCTTGCGGTTTCCGTCTTGCGATGTGTGTTGGGGGGTGTTTTTTTTGGTGTTTCGTGGCTTATTTTTACTTGGGGATGACGCATAGGAAACTCCTGAAAGAGTGAGGCCTCCCTTGGGTCGCGATAGAGATTTCACACCAGGGGCGCATGGGGTGGGGTGCATGGGGATTCTGCGAAGCCACGTTAAACAAGAATGCCCGAATGCCGAAAGTCATGATTCAAACCTACACTACGCTTAACCTTTGAGTTTGTAAATTGAACCCGTCGGAAGAGGATCTTGCTTCGAAAGCCCGCGTTAGGCTTCCTCGTTTTCTGACACCTCCATGCACAGCTCCAGGGTTTGTGCCGGGTTGTGGCTGTGGTTTTCTTGCCTCCTCAAAATCTCGAGGCACAGACCGTAACCCACCCTAAAGCCCTTCAGAGCTTTCAGCCCCCAAGAAACGCTAAACCCTGGACCACCCTTGAAGGCCTTAAGCTTTGTGGTGCTTTCCCATGCAAACGCCGAGGATGACGATGATCCCGAGATGCTCGCTCTCATCGAGAACGGCGGCGATGCTCCGGAAGGAGGCACCTTCCCCTAGGACCTCGTGTGCTTCAGGGCGTAGATGTTAGGGCTTGTCTTTATACAGGCTGGAACATGGATCTTACTCTCCTCTAGGTCTTAAAAAGGGGTTGGCCGATAGTCAGGGGTCTACATAGGAGTTGCCAAGGCTTTCGAGCAATGGGAGTAGGAACGGAGACATGCCTTCTTTTTGTTCCGGTTCCGAGCAGCCGAGTCGAAGGGCACGTCAAGGCCAGGAATTTCAGGGGTTCGGCTCTGCTCTGAAAGAAACCCCATTTTGCTGCAGGTGATGCTGCAGAGAGCGACGACGAGGATCCCCGAGACACGGCGCGGAAGAAGCAGGCCCGGGGGAGATGAACTCGTCTCCGAGTCGGATGCAACGGAAAACTCCAAAAACCTCTCCTGAGGAGGAGGAGGACAAGGAGGCGGTAGGGACCGTCGAGAAGCAGAAGAACTGGAGTTCTGTGAACTTGGCCTTTCAGGCCTTGCGGGTGCGCGTCGGCGCTTTAGGGACTTAGATTGAGGCGGCTTTTTAGAGCACTGGATTTTTTGTGGGTTTTGTACGCTCGCATCTCAGCTGCGCCTGCGCGCCTTGCTGTTCACTTCTGCGCGAACTGAATCAGTCCAGAACCCTCTTGCTCCAGCCGACACGAACAGCAATGACGTCCTCAGGCTAGTTTCGGTCTAGGTATTGCAGGCGCTCGACAGCTTGATTTAGGGTTTTGGAGTTTTTGGACTTTGGACTGGGCTCTTCAGACTTGTTGGGGGGAGGTCAGTCTTGGAGCGGTTGGATGTCCGTATAGGTACAGACAGCCCAGGAACTCAAGACCCTGAGCGGGAACTCCAACTCAAGAGATTCAGTCTTAAACTCCAAGAAAAGATAATTGAATTCCTTCGTAACAACGAAGCCGCCGTGTCCAGGAGTCCAAGTTGAACTACCGGGGTAGCTTCTCCGCCTTGTCCTTCACCAACTGGCTGTGGTACAGGTGCGCCTGCTGCCCTTTCTTCACAAGTCCCGGAAAGCACACCTTGAGCTTTTTTGACCCCTACATCTCGAACCCACGCCCCGGAAATCGATAGGGTTTGAAAACACTGCTTCAGGTCGGGGGTTGCAGTCAGACGGTGTTCAGGGGTGCCTGTGTTAATCTGTTCAGGCTGTACGTCTTGGTTGTTGTTCACTGTCGTCCGAAAACCAACACTGAGCTGGAGAGCAGCACTCATGCACTCCTGCCTGCTAAAGGAGCTAGAAGAGGCCTGGGTTGAGCTCCTGGTTGGAGTGTCAGCGTTCAGGCTTTTGGGGTGTTAGGTCGCAGGTCTTGTCTACGCCAGGGCCTGCCCGTGGCCAGAGCCACCCATCACCGAGCCCCATGAAATCCGAAAGCCTAAAGCTTCGTGGCATCTCGAAGCCAGGGCCTTCTACCCCAAGCCCGGCCAAGCCCTAAACGCCGAGCACCTTCTCCCAAAAGGTCGCCAAGCCCTTGAAGAGCGCCGCCCAAAACGCCAAACGCCCTGCCAGGGTCGTCCGACCGAAGTTGGAAGAGACCAAGTCGAAGATGGTGGAGCTCAGCGACGAGGCGATTGAGCTTGGGTTTTAGGGTTTAGGAGGGAGCCTGAGCAAGGGTACAGGACAAACTCCTGTTTCCTTTCCATGCCGACGGTTGGGAGCGATCATGTCGGGATAATTGCTGGTGTTTGGCTGCAGCTCAGGAGCTACTCGAAGCTGCTGGAAAACAGATTTTAGCCAAGTTGTTGGACGTGGCCATGCCTTGCAACCACTGCAACCTCTAGTGCCCTAAGCTGTAAACGAATGCTTCGTCGATTCGCTTTTTGTCGCAGGAGCTCGAGAAATACGGCATTCCGGATGTCGAGGCTCCGTCCATTTAGGGCTGTGTGGGCAAGGGCTTAGAGTATTTCTACGGAGCAGATTCGTGGTATGATCAACACAGCCTTTGTGGTTTCTGAAGCTGTCAGGCCCGGAACCGAAAGCTCTGAGCGTGTTTCCTGGTGCATCGCATGGTACTGCCCTACAGCCTTTGGTACTTGCAGCGACCCTCGCAACATTTTGCTTCTGGCAGGAAGTCCTCGGCGAGCAGCTTTGCTGTCAATTCCCAGAGCGGTGACGAGAGAAGAGGATATCTCAGGATAATCGGGCTAAGAAGAGGCTTGGTTTTGGAGAGAGAACGTCTGTTCTTGTCGCACACTCCAAGGAATCGGAAGGTTAAGGAAATTGTCACGGCGAATTCTGTCTGTTCTTGTTGCGCACTCCGAGGAATCAGAAGGGTAAGGAAATTGTCACGGCGAATTCTGTCTGTTC